ATGGAGACCTGCGATTGAAGTACAAACATTTCATCCACAATTCTCACATCGTCTGTGCAGGAGGTGAATTTCTTGTTAACACCAAGTTTCCTCTGCACTTCACACCGGTTGAGAAAACGATCCAACTGAAAACAACAGGGTGGAGTCTCGTCAAGCATGCAACCCACCCTCGGATCTTCAACTTGGCCTGTGCTTCCGTCCTTAGTTGTGATCCTCATATCGTACCTACAATGCAAACCATTTCACTAAATATATCCTATCATAGCAAATCTCCTTACATGTTGATACCGCGTCTTTTTAATGGAGCTAGTATGTCGCCGCGGTCACAGAGTTTGGACAATTTGAGGCAAATCGTAACTAACACGACGGAGTTTAATTCGAGTGCGAAGGACGCTCAAACCGCTGGTTTCTCACGGTCGCCTGCTAAACACTGTGGTATACCCCTCGAGCATTTCCCAACAGCCCTAGTCATGTTCAGATATCTAACAAGACTGATGCACACCATAGGAGGCTTTGTTCTCGCACTCTTCGTGGGTAGCAACGCGCGGAGCGGTACAGCTTTTAAAAGCCATCTGGGGGAATGCAAGTACCCTATCAGGAACGACTCGATCATATCTCCGTCGTATATCCGCCTACTGAATCCCGGCATTCATCCATCCATTTCCAATAGCTAATCCCCGAAGGTTAATATTAGGTTTGTCCCCCTTAGTATTTTCTCGCCATATTTTATGCGCTATTGCAGGTATGTAATGACCTAAGCAGCGGAACTGACGGTTCGACGACACTCGATATGGAGCTACCAGCATACGACTCCCCAGTGATGTAGAAGTCTCTATCTTTATACTGGCTGTGTTCAGCGAAGAACCCCTGAAGGGCCAAGTACCTTTCAATGCATCAGTCGCTAGATCAGTGTTGGAGGAATATATGTTCGCTTTCCTCAGCTGAGCTCGAAATTCCATCACTTACTATAGAAGTTTACATACAAATTCAAGTAGAAGTGTACGAAAACCAACAGTAATTCCCCGAAAATTTCCTCATCATTTTCACATTCTCACCAACACATGTAGTTGACCATGTGCATACTTTCCCCCCACACTGTTCGCCTTACAAGTCGTCAGCAGCCCCGAACGAGCCGTTCGTGACGGGCGGTCCCTCAGCAAAGCCAGCCCCGGCAGGTTGGTCAACGAAGAGGAGGTTCGCTCGCGTATTCCAAGAATACCTTAATCGGATATGTCATCATCATTCACACACAGTCCTTCTTACGGGTTCAGCTTGGTGCCACTTCCGTCCTCATTAAGTCTGCAGGGTCCATTCTCTAAGAAGAGCCCTATCATACTGCTACACCCAGGCCCCCCGTTGAGCCAGAGGATGAGAGGATCCTGGGATGGATCAGAACGGGACTCGAACAACCAGAAGAATAGTCTGATGAGAGTCCGCATAGATGGTGAAGCAGGTGTTCAAATGCTTACCTTCTTTCACCGCTACCATTGTAGTAACCGTGTACTTGGTTCACATCCGGATCGCAGAGACGCTTACCGCGACTCAAAAAAGATTTCGTGTCCATACCACTCTCTTCCTGGTAGGCTTGGGTCGGCTCAGCCTTATCTCTTGTGGCTGAAAGAAGGCAAGCTGTCACCTGTTGTTGCCTTTGTGGTCAACTCGACACTGCTATAACTCTGAGTATAACCTGAGTTGACTTACCTCCGGGATACATCATTTGAGCACCAACCGAATCGACCAGTGAGAGTAGGATGAGGAGGAGGCTGGCGTGAGACATTTATGAGCTGCTCAAATCTACGATGAAGGTCGCAGTCGGTATGGTGTCACACCGCTGGTGTGGATTGTGACCACCGCCTCATATCCGCACATATCAACAACATCTCGTGGTAGGATGAATTGCATATGATCTATGAACAGCCCGGCTGTTACAGCCCGTATGAGCTATGTCGTTTACGTGTATTACACGAGGACTATATCATCATAATACCATCTGTATTCAGACGTAGAGTCAATTATCTAAGTCGACTCTGTTCGCCCCTTCGAGATCCTTATCATGTTCTTCTCGTATATGCGTGCTACGCAGCACTAGAGTGATGTGGGATATTCGTTAGTGCATGCGTGCAGGCGCTGGTAAGCACGCGCGACAAGATGGATACCACGTTCGCAACGACTTGCGATGCAGAAAATTCAATACCACGCGCCCGGATGATATCCTTGAGATCATTGTGTGATCGAGACTTTGTGTGATTCGTATTGTGTCATCAATAGCTGGGAAGAATGATACTCTTCGCAGACGGGAATTTCATGAATTCCCGAGAAGACAGAACCATCAATCATCCCGGGAAGAATGACCGTTATTTTTCCCCATACACCCAGGGCTGCACGGAGACTTCGACTTCTTGCGTCTCGCTGTCGCGGCGACAGCGACAGTTTCGCCGATATCTGCTCGTTCCCAGCATTTCCGGTCGAGTTCCAAGTCACGATCATAGACAACGAAACGTGAGTCGCGTTACGTGATGCACTACCAATTGTTATCGATCGCTTTGGCGAGCGCGGTTAGCAACGTACACGATCCTCACTCGAAGAGGGTATATATCGACTCAACGGTGTTTCGTAGAGAGGCCTCAATGGTTTGTAAGCATCAATAAAATCAACGGTCATCGAACCCATGACATGGAATCGCAATATCTCCATATTGGCTCGGGAATTCTGGGCCAATATGGAGATATTGCGAGTCAGAAGAACAGTGTCGAACTTCTATTATAACCCCAGGTTAGAGTCCGCATTGACTATCAAACGATGT